CGTCGTCAGCAGGAGGGTTGGACTAGATGACCCACAGAGGTCCCTTCCAACCCCTACTATTCTGTGATTCTGTGAAAGACCAGAAGGCAGAGATGGAGCGAAAGCCCCGTCTTCTCCTGTCATAAAACCACTCTGTCAGGTATGTAATTGATTTTGTGTTGATTTCTGTGATCTGTTTTTCCACAGCAGATGCAGCGTGTGTGCCTGCCTCAGAAGTCGAGTCTGTCTGTGCAGAAAAAGCTGAGGCCGTTCCTGCAGGAGACACCAAGCCTTCGCAAGCTCCGGGTGCTGGGTTTGCACCTGCAGCAGAAGCCAGCCCTCTGCAGGCTACGGACGTTGGGTTTGCTCCTGCGCCAGGGGCCAAGCCTCCCAACGCTGTCAGTGATGCCTCCACCCCAGCGGCAGATACCGGCTTCACCCCGGCAGCTGGTGCGACGTCCCGTTATGCTACGGATTTGGAGTTTGCCCCAGGAGAAGATGCGGGGTTTGCCCCAGCAGAAGATGTGGAATCTCACCATGCTATGGGTTTGGCTTTTACCCCATCAGAAGATGTGGAATCTCCCCATGCCATGGATTTGGCTTTTGCCCCAGCAGAAGATGTGGAATCTCACCATGCCATGGATTTGGCTTTTGCCCCAGCAGAAGATGTGGAATCTCACCATGCTATGGGTTTGGCTTTTACCCCATCAGAAGATGTGGAATCTCACCATGCCATGGATTTGGCTTTTGCCCCAGCAGAAGATGTAGAATCTCACCATGCCATGGATTTGGCGTTTGCCCCATCAGAAGATGTGGAATCTCACCATGCTATGGGTTTGGCTTTTGCCCCAGCAGCAGATGTGGAATCTCACCATGCCATGGATTCGGCGTTTGCCCCAGCAGAAGATGTGGAATCTCACCATGCTATGGGTTTGGCTTTTGCCCCAGCAGAAGATGTGGAATCTCACCATGCTATGGGTTTGGCTTTTGCCCCAGCAGAAGTTGTGGAATCTCACCACACTGTGGATTCAGCATTTGCTCCAGCAGAAGATGTGGAATCTCACCACGCTGTGAGTTTGGCGTTTACTCCAGCAGTGGACATGGAATCTCACCGTGCTGTGGATTCAGCGTTTGCCCCAGCACCAGATGTGGAATCTCACCATGCTGTGGATTCTGAGTTTGCCCCAGCAGCAGACGCAGAGTTTGGCCCTGCAGCAGAAGTCGGCCATCATCACGCTGTGAATTTGGGCTTTGGTCCTGTAGCAGAAGCCAAGCCTCTTCCTGCTGTGGATTCTGGGTTTGCCTCTGCCGAAGCGAAGTCCACCTCTACAGCTGACGCCAAGATTGCTGCATCTGCAGAGCTGCTGCCATCCAAGTCTTCTCCTGAGCAAACCAAGTCGCCCTTCGACAAGCCCCCGGCAGGTGAGCGTGCGAGCCCGAAACCTGCGGTCAGGTGAGAAACATCATGGGGAAGCGGCACGAGGAGGCTGCTGAGAGCGGGCACGGCAGCAACGGCCCTGGCAGCGCCCAGGGGTGGCTGCCCAGGTGCGCCGTGCTCGTGGGACTCGAATAAAAAAGCGTCTGGTTTTGGTAGCTAAGATCGTGGTACACCTTGCACAAACATCTCAAGTAGAGCTCCGTTCTGCTGCAAGATACGGGCAGGAGGTGCTTCATGAGGATTTTTCGCTTACAAAATATAAAACTAGAATATCTTAATGATTTTTTTTTTTTTTTAAATTGGCATTCTTAGCAGTGATGTATGTTCTTTAGGACAGCCAAAGAGACATTTTAGTCCATCCCTGTTAGTACTTATTTTTGTGTCACTGTCATCCTCAGCTTGCGCTGAGATCTCCAGAGGTCTTGTAGGCTACAGTGTTTTCACAGAATCCCAGCACGGCAGGGGTTGGCAGGGCCCTCTGGGGACCCCCCAGCCCAACCCCCTGCCCAAGCAGGGTCACCCAGAGCAGGCTGCACAGCACCGCGGCCAG